GACAATAATCCAATCGAGATGATAGATCACCTTATGATTGATGTAATTATTAGTCAAGGGATAAAAAGATAGCTTATCACCGACAATATCTATTCAGGATTTCAAACTCAATGGGAGTGAGGGTTGTGCTCATTATGAAACTTAACTCAACACCTTACGACACGAGCTGATGACCCAATACTAGTTTGACTCAGTCAATTATGAATTACTTAATTTATAATCATCTTAGTTATTACATACTCCCTCTGTTCACTATTGTTTGTCAGGTATACTAAAAATAGTTGTCCAAAATTAATTGTCAATTTAAACAATCACAAAATAATTAGTCATTTTTTTCCAATTCTCCCCTTAATAATTACATAACTACTAGTTTCAAAAAATAGCTATTTTAAAGTTACAAGACTACTTTAATGTGAAAAAAAGTTGTTTTTACGGTTTTCAAAAAGTACAAATCATTTTAATAAAGATTGATAGTAGGGTTATATTAGTCAAATTGCACCTTATATTAAAATTTTTCTTAATGGTTGTGCATGATCTTACCCTGACAAACAATAGTGGACGGAGGGAGTATAACATGTAATAATACTAATAATAATTACTATTTGATTTTATTTTTAAAAAGGATAAAAAACTAGAAATTAAATCCATCTCAATTTGAAACTCCCTTAATTTAATTGTATTGGCACGTAGGGAGTAGGGACTTAATTATTATTTAGTATATTTAATTGTGCCTAACATGCAGCTGTCCCTTCGATTTATTATATGTAACATCCTCAATAAGTTGAATAGCTTGTTTGCTTAATTATTTTGTGATTTGTGTTGAGCAAATAGCGACACCCATTATCCTCATGTGCCATGTTCTAGATATTGATATTTGCCTCCAATCATTTAAAAATTATAATCATCTCCAGATTTATGACGTAATAATTTTTACTTAGTTACAATAATATATTGAGTATAATTTTGTAAATGGAGTTTGGAAGGATACAATATATGCAGAACTTGTCTCTATCTTGGAAGATCTAAAGGCTGTTTCCGATAGACCCTTAACTAAAAAATAACATCTTTTACTTAGTTAAAGTTTTTAATTCTTCCGACTCACTTATATCATTTTTTACTTAATTAATTAAAGAGTTTTGATTCTTTATTCAAGACTAATTTTTTTTTTAAAAAAAAATCATTATCCTCCTCGTAAGAACTCTCTCATTTTCATTTTACTTGTTCGTTTTAACAAATTAAGAGGGTTTTATTGTGTGTTTTTTTATACTATCTCTTAGTACTATCAAATAACTACATAAAATAATGTTTGATCAAATTTAGAGTTCAAAGCATTAATTTTATAAAATATATCTTTAATTAAAGCTTTTAAAAGAGATTTATTAGATAAATATTTGTCAAGTAATATAAAACGGAGAAAATATTTACTGTTTTTTTCTTGTCCCTCCAATTTTGAATTATTGAGTTATTAGAGGCTTTATGCATCAAAAGAAGCACTCAACTTTGTTTTCATAAAAAGAGGTTGAGTCATGCAATGGATTCCTTATCATTTGTGTCTTTTTATTTCTTTTTATCTTATTTATACTTTATGGATGTTACACTTGAAAGTAACCGTGTTTACACACAAAATAATGTGGTGATGATATTCACAAACGAATTCAGAATTTAAAATGTATGAGTTAAAATAATTATATTTATGATAAATATTTATCGTTCTTAGCCTATGAGTTATGTCTTATGCTATTAGTTGTTATAGAAGCTTTGAGAGTGAGTAGCACTTACTCCGTCCGCCTAACTTTACATATCCGATATATTAAAACTAGTCATTTAATTTTATTTATTTAGTTAGGAAAATGAAGAGATAATTTATTGTTTTGTGTTTATATTATCCTTGTTATTAAATATTACATTAACTCATTTTCCAACAATCAGATGACTTATAATTAATATGAATAATATAACAAAAATTTCCTTTTTTATTTTCTTAAAAATATATTAAATTAATCATGAACAAAGCAAACGTGTAAAGACACACCAATTTGAGAGTCAAGTTACATTAAATAATTGTCTACTCCTTATTGCCTTTTTATTTTACCACCTTTTTGACTCACTTTAATTATTATTCTTTATTAGAGATTGATGCGTTCATACTTCATCGTGGATGGACTTTATTATATTTTTTTAATCAAGTCAAAATCTAGCATAAACATTACCAATGTATACACTTGACATTTTTATATATACCAAGGTTGAAACCGATCCACCTTAGATATTTATTTGTCGAAAAATTACACTATAAAAATATATACAAAAAAATATAAAGTAATTTTAGTGTACAATATGCAATTTAATTTAATTCCTGGTTCAATCAATTAAATACATTATTCATTTAACCACGATAATTAGAAGTATGAATATCTTCTTTTTTTTTCTCTTCTTGTATAGATATATCTTGGTGATCTGTATCATGATTAATCAATAATCAATAATCTATAACTCTCCTTATCACCAAGTGGGAGTAACTAATTATCAAATGGACCTTATCATTAAATTTGTAGCTAATTAGCTTACGTAAGATCCACAGATCAGCAGCTAGCTTGATACACTCATCATTTTCTCTTTCTATTATTTTTTCAGGTGCGAAATCAAAATTTTCATTAACAGAGTCGTCTGAAATATGAAGAAGTTAAATACAATCGAAAAAGTTGAAACTCATTATCTACTAATACTATATACAATAATAAATAAAAAAATTATATATACCATGTAATTTTTTATCGTACCCCCAACTCTGCCTTGATAATTTTCCTACACTAGTATTATAGTAGAAATATAAAATATTAGGAAAGGTAGTATACTAGATATTTAGTTGTTATTGTTTTGTGTATCCACGTTCTTGCATGCATCATCCACCCAGTGAATCCCGTTTCTTATTTTTCTTATACTCAAAAAATATTTATATAATCAAATTAATTAAATAATAATCACAAGTAATTCTATCTAATTCTTTACACCTTAGAATAAATATGTAGTACTTAGCATGCTATGACATGATTAAATTGTATTAATAATGTAAATAGTCATATTTTGTTTGTATTTAATTAACTTAAGAAATTACTTATGAGGTAAAAATTAACCCAGGGAAATTATTTTACCAACCATCTAATAACGTGAGATATATTATTGCTCCATTAATTAAATTCTAAATACTAAACATGTTAAAACTAATTAAAACATGTTGACTTGATAAGTGAAAGACTATTTAAAATGTACAATTGACAGAATTCTTCATTAGTTTTTTTTTTATCGTAAGCTCAAACGTCATGCTCCTCACATTCAACAATTAGTAGCTACATTATGAAAAAACAACTAGTAACTAGGTTGATCAATTTATTTGTTTTGTGTTTTCCTCGTTTGGTGTCTGATTTAGAAAATCTCACTTTTGAAAGTAAAATGTTCTTTATTAAAAGTGACTTCATTCTTATTCTAATTTAAACTCAAAATATATGATTAATATATATTTTTATATATATATATATTACTTACCGCTTCATTCCGATCATTATAATTGAGTTGATCCATGTGATTGAAATTCTAAATTAGTTATGTAGATCATCAAGGGTAGACTTTCATTACTGAAAAAAAGTTAATTAAGTTTTTTTTATTATTATTAGATGATCATTCAATTTTTATTATAATAAAATAATAATTAAATAATCATGTACAAAATTTATATTCTAAGAAACACGAGGTGCTAAAATAGTACAATAATCGTTGCATTAAATTTTGTGCGACCAAAAATTCAATAAGTTCGAGAAGAAAGCATGGGAAAATGTTTGTTCAAAATAGTTAATGAGACAAAATGGTTTGGTAGAAAAATATTTATTTCAAGTGCTTGATTAGCGGCTTAATTTACTTTGAGGAATTGACGTAACAATTGAGCCATTGTTTATGGTTAGATACGGTATTAAAAATTTTGGTTCGATAATTTTAATTTTTAAAAATATATATACTAATAACATATCAAAATTAATTTTATATGATTCAGTAATTTTAAGTTTGATTTTTGTTATATGGTAAGTTGATATTCATGTTTTGTTCAACTTCGACTATTATATAATAAAAATTATGACTTCAATTTTTTTAAGTGACTGTCTTAAATATATCATGCTAACACTTTTACATATTAGAAATATTCAAAAGAAAGTATAACTTTTTTTTCTTGGTTAATCAACTACACAAAAAGAAAATTTTGATCAAGATTGAATAGTTAATATTTTAAAATCTTAATAACAACATTACTTGATTCTTTATTAGATACAAAATGACATTAATGATGTGTTTTTAGGGGAAAAAACACAATTTTTTCATATTTGATTGGTCAAAACTTTTTAAAAATATTTTCTCTAGAAACACGCCTTAAATGAAATGTGATAATATATAGTTCTATATAAATATTATCTTATATCGTCCTAAATGAGATGTGATAATTTATAATTTCGTAGAAATATTATCATATATATACATACTTAATACATATCAATTGTATATGCATCTTAACCCTTCGGTATTTAATATTTTCACATATATATATATATATATCGAAAACATATCAAATACCAATCTAAATTGTAGTATGCACCATGATAATTTAATATCTACAAAAGTATTCACACCCCTATTAATAGAGTTTGGAGGTAGGGTGCGCAAGAGATTCATCGAAGACTTTAAATAATTATACTATTAGTATATTCTTCTCATTTTATATATATATATATATATGATACAATATTGGAGTCTTATTAAATTTGAATTCACGCTAGAAAGTCCTACAGTGAAAATAAATGTTCTTTATAAAAGTGATTTCATATCTATAAAAAATCAAATCTGAGACGTCTAATTAAGATATTTATCACTTTACTATCATCTTCGAAGTATATTTTTTTACCTGAACTGGTGGAGGTCTATCTGTCAGTATTCAGGACGAAGTAGCAAAGAAATTAGAGCCCCAGAAACTACAAGGAAGCTAATTAATCCTACTTGCTCCAGCTCATTTTCACACATCAATGCCCAAAAAGCTCCCACACTGCTTTTCAAATTTTTTACTACTATTTAGTTCAAATGATCACACTTTTTTTGTCTTTTTATTTGGTTCTTTTCTGCAGTGAGTAGTGTTCTTTCTTTAATTAACATTTTCCTAAAAGACACTCTTTACTCAGACAAAATCAGCTATTTTAAGCTCAAAACCCCCATAAAGATTGGACCTTTCTGCAATTAGTGTAAAGAATAGTTGTTTTTAGTTTCAAGAATCATTTTATTACCTCAAATTATTTGGTGGGTCTTAGGTCTAGACATCAAATCAAATCTGTAGTAGTTGCATTGGCAAATCAAGAATTGTGGGTCAAATTAGCTTTTTTTTTGCTGGCTGGTTTGAGTCCAAATCAGAGTCAATACATCTTTTTGAAAGTTGAGTCTTTGTTGGAATAGCTAAGGAAACATACCCAAGTGGCAGATTTCACTATTTTTGAATGTGGAGGATTATAAAAGATCCACAGTAGAGGGACAATGATTCTTGATTTATTGTACTATGGGAAATGCAAGAAAGGCTGGGTTTTTATGTTGCTAGTAGAACTTATCAGTCAAGTGAACTGACAGAAAGTTTTGAATTTTTTCTGTAATTAGTAGAGTTTGATTTGATTTGAAGTTAATAAATTTGAAGTTCTGGTAGATTAGTTAGAAAGACTTTTGGCTAAAATGTCTGGAGAAGATACACAAGAACTTCGTTCGTTGGCCTTGACACCAACATGGTCTGTTGCTTCTGTATTGACTATATTTGTTGCTGTTTCACTGCTTGTGGAGCGATCCATTCACAGGTTATCTAATGTAAGCAAGGTTCTCTTTTTCACTGTTTGGGTTGTGTAGTTTTGTTGGTTTTATTGGAAGAATTGAGTCGAGCTTGTATTGGAAATAGCCTCTCTACCTTTGAGGTAGGGGTAAGGTTTGAGCACATTTGCCCTCCCCAGACACCACTTTGTGGGATTACATGTTATGTTGTTGTTGGTTTTATTGGAAGAATGTTATAGGAGTCCAGTACCAAGGAGTTCATAGTCTACTGTATATACAAAAGAATTGATGTTGTATATATAGTGTAATTTTCCGGGTAAAGGAGTTCATGACTAACTTTTGTTCATGTGAAGTGTGTGTTATTCTGGACTTTTGTAGATATTCATGTTGTATGTTCTCAAAAATATAGGGGGTGAGCGAGGATATAGGATTACAATATACCTGCTAGATACACCATGAAATACTCAACTTTTAATTTGTTCCATCCCGATGATCCCCTTGTGACACCCTCGGAACTCTCTCTGACATTGTAGGAAGGGTATAAATATTCATCATTTCTTTTTCATATACAAATTTCCAGTTGATTACTCAAGCAGCTTAAGAATTGAATATGCTTTGAGTTAATTGTCCTAGATTTTACGGTCTTGGATAGTTGCTTATATATAACAAGCTCCCTTAGATAGCAGTGAACGTCCAACCTCTCAAAGTCTTCGTGTCTCAAGGCCTCTGATTTCATAAAAAATCTTCAAGACCATAAAATTAATTTTAACGGTTTTGATTGTATTTGATTGATTATGTTTCTTGTAGCATCATCAATTATGGAACTTCGAAAACTAACAGTTTTAATTATTTTATCATGTCAGTGGTTGAGGAAAACCAATAGAAAGCCATTGTTAGCTGCTGTGGAGAAAATGAAAGAAGGTATTATATGTTTATGTACACTGAACTTAGAGCATACAAACAAAAAGGAAAAAGCTCTTCGAAATTTGGATTCCCCTCCTTTCAACCCCAAATATTACTTTTCCTGTCATAACCGTTTTCGACATTTGGTGTACAGAGTTGATGCTTCTTGGATTCATTTCTCTCCTTCTCACAGCAACTTCCAGCATCATATCTAATATTTGCATACCGTCAAAGTTTTACAATAATGCATTTGCTCCATGTACAAAGTCTGAAGTTGATGAAGAAATGGAGAATAAAGATTTGAAGGAGCGTAAACTTTTGATGGCTTTTGGTCTTCATAGGAGAGTATTAAATTCCTTCAATCAAAATACGTGTGGAGAGGTAAATTTGATTTTACATGTGACATATGAATCCATTACTCCAATATCTTGTATCAATTCTACTTTTGTTGCTACAAGATGTACCTGCAACTGATATCCTGCAAAAATGAAATAAATAGTTTTTTTAGTTTATTGCCCCTGAGTTGCTTTAGCTTCTCTCTCTTTCTTAAGTTGTTTCTGAAGTAGTATCAATAATCCGAATCAAACATTTTGTCAGAACCATGAACCTTTTGTATCATATGAAGGCCTTGAGCAGCTGCATCGCTTCATCTTCGTCATGGCCATTACTCATATATCTTATAGTTGCTTGACAATGCTGCTGGCGATTGTTAAGGTAAAGTTCTCTTTTACTTGAGAATTTGATAAACGTTGTTTTGGTGAACTTTTGAAGTCCAGTTATTTTCGAGTGTATGCTAATCTATTGTCCATGGAGTGGCAAGTTTGATTGGATGGAAGTAAATTGTGATGTATTAATCTGGCTTGCAAAGTCTACTGTCATATATGATGGTAATGCTATACATCCTCATTCAATGGCCCTATTACTTATTACCTTGTGGACAACAGATTTGGAGTGAAGATTTGTTTTCTGGGTGAGCTTCCTGATATGCTTAATGTATAGACTGCTGGAGAGGCATAGTGTGTGATAGCCGGAGGTATCTGATTTGTTGCTGAAGTTCTGATAAAAGTATTTTGATGCCCACAGTGTTGGGGGAATTAATCTCTTTGTCAACAATTTTTTGCTTCTACTTCGGCATTTAAGCATATCCTCTCTAGCAGGGGCATTTGCTCTGCTGTCTGCTCTCCTTGAACTTACATTAGGTGAATAGGCAACTGTCTATATTGAAATCAGGGAATCACGCCATACTGCGTATAAAGATGGTAGTCCAAAGTTCAATTTCTTCACACTTCATAGTTGTGTCAGTGTCAGCTACTTGCCACTTCCTTGCAGAAGTTGCCATGTTTGTCCTACGAAATGACCACGTCTGGTTTTTATCCTCATTATCACCACTTCTCTCTTCTTCTTTACTTCTGTAAACTCTATTCACATGTTCTGCATCGCTAGCTGCCTGATAAGTGAAAATCTGGATAGGTCCACAGTTGGAGGGTGTGGGAAGATCAAGCGCAGAATGACAGGCATGATGTACTAACTGGTAAGTTATACTTGCATGTGATTTATCAAAATGTAATCTTGTTCTCTAGCTTCTACCGTTTGTTGTTCTCTTGTAATCATTGTGGATAAAGTCTGCTGGTTTTAAATTCTTATTTTAACAAGAGATGTAACTTTAAATTTGTTCAGAACAAGAAAACAGAAGATCTTAATATTATTTATCTAAAAGAAAATTGTAAGGGTCTTTGTAATTAGAAGGAAAGTCGGTTGTGTCAAGAACCGTGCATGTATTATGATGGAGATGGAGCAACACAAATTATCAGTTAGTGTATGACTCTTTGTACTTGAAGTATAAGTGGACTCAAAATCTCCAGAGACTTGAGAATGTACATGCATCGGATGATACCTGAAGTTGAGTGTTCGGAGACAAGCTGATGGATTTCCTTCAACTTGTGTCAAGGGGATTCAATATTTCATATTCAACCAGAAAATCTCATTTTTACGCTTTTTGCATTGAACGACTTTCTGATGAACGGGGATTCAATTGTACCCCCTTGGCTCTACATAGTTCTGCCCTTGTGCACCGCGAAAGATTAATTCATTCTTTTCTCGTCATGTGTGGAGATGACAATGTTTGTGCTAATCTTTACATCAGTATCATGTTACTTTGTTTTCCAATATTATTATTATCCCATTGTGGTCTTTCCTGGAGCAAACATGTATTTGCCACTTATTTCTATTTCTAGACATCTATTGCTTCGTATATTGATTAATGCATTTAGAAATTCTCTACCTTGGTGTCTATTAGGTAGCTATCTTCAGCTGTTATGTTTGCTTTTCTCCTTTATTTTGGGTGGTGGGAGATGCATGTACCGGGGTAATATATATTTCATTCCTGCTTGGTATTCGTTGAAGAGATCTGCCATTTGTCCTCTAGAAATGTCTCAAAACCTCAATCAGTGCCCCTTTGAAATGCTAAATGTGGAGAAATCCATCACGTTGTTTACTTTGATAGAACTTTGAAAAAAGCTACAAGAAACTGAACTCTTTTCTATGGCAGACATTTCTAGAGCCAAGACATTCCGAAGGCAGTCGACTTTTGTCAGAGTTCATACATCAAGTCCACTTGCCAGGAACCATTTCCTTGTTTGGGTGGTTAGTTCTTATATAGTTCTTACTAGATACTGATTTCCCTAGCCCTCACATAATTTATTCATCCAAAGTAAATAAAATATTTGCTTTTAATAGTTATGCTTTTAGATGAGGTGGTTCCCATAATCACTCGTATCGACTTACACTTTTTTTTCCCTTTCTAAATTGGTTTGAGTATAATGTTTGTATATTTCTATCATCAAATTTCGCAGACCTGTTTCTTCCGGCAGTTTGGCCGCACAGTTGTTCGTGCTGATTACCTTACTCTGCGCAAGGGTTTTATCATGGTATGGATCCAAACATGAACCACTTCCCTTTAATTCGCTTCTAGCATTTTGAAAGAACTAATCACTTGCAAAACATTAAGTAAAATATTTGAATGCTTTTGAAGGCAGTACTGTGGAGTATCTTAGAAGTTAAAAAGTAGTTAGGATGTGAGATTTGTTAGTTTAGTTTTGAGGAAATTACTACATCACAAAAAGACATCATCTGATTAGAAGCAGCTCATATCACAGTTTGACAAACAGGAAATTTGAAATATACAATCATGATAAAAGTACAACTGATGCACATTATTAAGAATGGAACACTGTCTTTCAAAACTAGACATGAAACTAAGCCTGTGTTAGTTAATTGAAAAGATTAGGACACTATGTTGCAAGCCCGGTTCATTTTGAACTCTAGTTTAGGGATCATTTTAAGTTATCTTCATGTTTGTATCACTGATTTTCTTTTCCATCACAAGAGTGTCTCTATATATGATACAGATTTCTGTTATAGATTACTAGTTACGACCTTTCTCCTCTTATTCATGGCAGAATCACAACCTTACATCAAACTATGATTTTCACAGCTATATGATTCGCTCGATGGAAGAAGAATTCCAAAGAATAGTTGGTGTAAGGTAAGAATAAAAGTACTCCTTCCCATTTTCATCCTCTTCTTTGAGTAGGCAGAGAGTTAAAAGTTGTTTAAAGTGAAGTGGGCCAAATATAGAGAGAAGTTCTTGATTCATTAAAGTACACGTCTTGATTAAAAGTACTCCTTCCCCGTTCTTGCTTGCTTTCCACCATTGGTTCTTGATTGAAGCTTCCTCTCATAACTTGTGTTATATCTTTGCAGTGGCCCTCTCTGGGGATTCGTGGTGGGTTTTATGCTGTTTAATGTAAAAGGTACTTCATCCTCCTCTGTTTGGAATGAGGAACGTATGCCACTTTTGTTTTTTATCATTAGATAAGTTTGCATTTTTCTGCTCCCCGACATTTGTGTTCTGGTGAAACTAAACTTCATCCACAAGCTCATGCATGACGGCATGACCATTGACCAATTGAACTTCAACATGCAGGATCGAATCTGTATTTCTGGATAGCGTTAATTCCTATCATTGTAAGTGCTTCCATTGCAATTATGTTTTGGAACTCTTCAGAAATGCATGAACATATATGCTTGCGTATATAAAGCAATGCCTCTTTCCGTTTCTCTTTATTCCTTACGGTGTAGTGGTAGACTTGACTGTGACCCTGCATGCGTCATCTTTCTTAATATTTATCTCTTCCCTTACATTCTGAATTATCTTGTATATTATATGAACTTATGGATGTGATAGAAGATATAAATAGTCATTTACTTGTACTTCTGTGCAGCTTGTACTACTCGTGGGTACAAAACTGCAGCATGTAATCGCAACCTTGGCATTGGAGAGTGCTGCAATTACTGGCTCATTCTCAAGGGCCAAGCTAAAACCACGAGACGAACTTTTTTGGTTCAAAAAACCAGAATTACTTTTGTCCTTGATTCATTTTGTCCTTTTCCAGGTTTGTTTGTACAATCATACTCCATTTTTCAATTGTTTCGTCTGTCTACTAACTTTCTTTAATATCTATACACTAACTTGTTTTTGCATGCTCACTCTTGCAGAATGCATTTGAGCTAGCTTCATTTTTTTGGTTCTGGGTATTCACTGGTCCCTTTCTCATAGCTTAATTTTTTTTTCCTGTATGTTTGTACCGAACATTTAATACCTAGTCAAAGCATTTCCCTTTTAACTGTATTAAACATTCGCAATCTTTAGTATTCGACATTGGCACATTCCCTGAAATACTAATGATTTTTTCCTTTTAACTCAAATTCTTTCTCGGTGTTCGACAAAACCATGTTTCCTCCCTTAAATACTTTCGTAGACAAAACCATATTCTCTATTCCATGTGCTTGTATAATATGTTCTACCACATGCATATGTTTGTTTCCATTTGTAGTAGACACTAATGTTCTGAATATCTGAGTTTTGACAAAGTTACGTCTTTATTCCAGTGGCAATTTGGGTATAACTCATGCTTCATAAAGAACCACACACTTGTGTATCTACGACTCGTTATGGGGTATGTGTAATTACCAACTGTATTTGTATGTACTATTGTTTAAGGTTTTAGATTTACCAACGTATTTTTATTTAGCACAATGATCTAAACGTATGCTGTTGTTTATCACCCAGGTTTGTTGGACAATTCCTTTGCAGTTATAGCACCTTGCCACTCTATGCCCTGGTTACACAGGTATTATGTCACGACGGATATAGCTAAATTGAGAAGTTAGAATAGTATGATCCTCTTTTTAACGTTCGCCTTTGTACACCATTACCTCTCTGGCCTTTACAATATTCTCATAACCACCTTAAGGTTATGGATGACATGTCTCAAATTTTCTAGCTCCGTTTTCCTTTCTTTTTCCGCTTCTTGCTCATGACAAACAAACACCAATAGATGGGAGACAGTAGAGACTGGATTGGGTGAGGTAAATGAGGACGATGGTGTAGGGGAAACGGAAGGGGCTTTACTTTTTTCTGTTCTCTTTAGGTATATTGTTAAAAATCATGTATAGACTATTCCATTCTTAAATGTGGTCTACTTTAAACCGTCAACGGTATGTCCAGAGATCACAAGATCTGCTTGATCGTCGTTGAAATGTTAAACTTTACGAACTACTTCAACTGTGCTAGTAACTCTGCATGTTGCACTTCCACAGTAAACTCGTGAATCGGACTATTAAATGAGATTGTAGATATTAATATTTTCCAAGAACAAAGCTTTGAACATATTATACTGCCTCTTTGCAGATGGGTACAAACTATAAGGCTGCATTGATTCCACAGAGAATAAGAGAAACGATCCACGGATGGGGAAAGGCAGCAAGAAGAAAAAGGAGAATGCGTATGTTCCCAGATGATTCAACTGTGCACACTGATACAAGCACCGTGATGTCCCTCGAGGAATATGATCATGACCAGTTGGTTGATAGCCCTCGAACAGTGCATGGTGCAGGTACAGAAATCGAGTTACAGCCACCAACAACTGTCACGGAGGATCATCATTCAGTAACAATTAACGACACTTCAAGTCGTATTGGTACTCCTCTCCTTCGACCCTGTGCCTCTATTTCTTCCGCAACTTCCCCAAATCTTCCACCTGAAGTAATATCAAGATCATCTTCAATGCCTGCTAGAGGACATTTGAGTTTGGGTAAACAATTACCATTATAGTGAAGTCGCAAAACAACACGAAGTGAAGTTGGTGTTGATACTTCTGCAGGTTTGTTTAACGTTGCATATAACATATATACTTGAAGATGTTTGACATGTGAAATCAAAGAAATATGCAGGTAGGAAAGAAATAGTTTCTATAGTTGCAAAAATATTTTCCCCCAAAACGCTCTGGATTGAAAAATCTGTAATGGCTGTTTCTATGTAGTATCCCTTGTATAATCAGTTACACACATGAGCTATCTAGGTAAGATAGAGCATCTTAAAGCTTGTATGTTTTCCTTCGTCAAATAGTTAAAGAGTTTAACTTTGTATACATCGACAATTTGGAGGATTATACACCATCATGTTGCAACAGATAACTTGTCTTACTTTTCAGACTAGTAATTCCATTTTTTGAACGATTACATGTAGTTATCATTTTGATGATTGATCGTATAGATAACTCTTGTTCAGCAATGTCTTTTCGTTTATGAGGATCGCGAGTACTTATTACAACAGAATAGTTTCCAGCCAAATGATAAGAAAAGACGTCTAATGGAAATGTATTAGCATTATAAGTCCCATAGTATTCAACTTTTCTCACTGGCATCTATACTTGATCCTGCATCCGCCAGTGCTTCAGCCATCATTTTTGCTCTATTCTGAGTTTGTCTTTCCACAGCAACCATATAGAAGCCTAACAAGCAAGATACAGATAAAGAACAACATCAAGTATTCAAACAGAAGAGCTAAAAATAATTTAAGCACTCAGCAGAGATTGGTCACAGTAAACACAAACACACAGATATATCCAAAATCTTGATGTATCATTACACTATACATAAATTTTCGTTTGTCAAGAGAGTCATTGTGCATACTGAGAATGGAAGTAGATCATCTCAACAATCCATACCCCATAATGTCCCATGGCACCCCTCAAAGCTTTCTGGAACTAAAAGAACCTAAAAATTGGCATGTGAATCAAAATCTACAGTATATGAGTAATGATATGAATTATGATCAAACTTTGATGATCACTATAAAGGTGAAGAGTTGATCCATTTGCCTAGCGGGGTTGTGGTTCAGCGTTTATCGTACTTTTCAGTTAATCAATTATAGTCTGCACAAAGATAGTTGAGAATCAGTTATTCCAAACGTAAGAAATTTTTAAAACAAAATTATAACATACTGCATTGAGGAACAAGTTATCACTTAACTTGGAAGATTTCTATGTTTGAACTGGTGGAGATGTAGAGTTTCTTCTAGCCAATAACTTTTTTGAAGCTCATAGGATTATTTTTCTATAAGCTCTTTCCCTATAGAGCAAAACACCTTTAGAATTTTAACAAATACCATAAGTAGATAAACACCACAACATGCAATGTTTTTTGGATGAATACGGTAAGCAGTTGCAGTTGGCAGTCACTAGGTACTTCTAGCTTTGTGGTGGAGATTTCATATGCATTACATTATTAATTAAGTCTTGGCATAGTAGCTAATTTGTTAGTTATTGACTTTCTGCCAGTCCAGTACATGCTAAAAATAACCATTGCTTGACTAGAGAGAAAAATCTCAAGAAAAAGTCAGAGAAGATTGATGGTATACCAATTGCACTTCCAATTGCACAGACCCATAAAAGCCTCCCTGACCATTTGTCAGCAACGATTCCTCTATTCCCAAATCCCATCAGCTAAGACTGGAGCAAAGAGAGCACGTATTAGAATGTGAATTTTCCACCAAGAACTGCAGCAGTAAAGTCCAGTTTAGCAAGGAAAACACATATTAGAATGTGAATTTTTCACCAGCTCTAAATGCTTTTACATTGTTCAATGTAACTGGTGTACAACGAGACATATCGTTTTCATATTTCTAAGTCTTGGAAATCCTGGTATACATGGTTTCAATATTTTCTTACTGTCTAAATTTGTTTTCATTCCTCACTTTCTACTGTAAAAGAGCAAACTGAAAAAGCTAATTATCATTTTACCATATGGTCACACTATTTTGCAGAAAATGGCTTTGTAATAGTAAAGAATGCTCAAAAAGGAAGAAGCAAACTAGAGCAACAAACATAATTAGATGAAATCCAAACACTCAGGTATGAGAGAATGACACTGTCATATTGTTCTTCAAGGGACCAACAAATCAGCAAAATCAATGCCATTACCAGATATTCAAAAATGATACTATTGAAAATGATTTCATGTACAAAACCTATTCATCAAAATGAACATATTGAAAATTTAATCAATTGAAGAAGCAGATTCTCATTTTTTCCCCTTTACTGGGTGAAATAGTATAATATTTCATATAAGATATGAAGAACTAGAGGACATAAAAAAAAACAATTTGTTTCAAGAAGAAAAGATAGCACTACCCAAAAAAGGAGGGAGAAGCTAAGAGGCAGGAAATAGGAACGACCGAACGAAAAAAAGTAACTTTACGACAGCAACACAACAAAGACGAATTTTATGGGATTTTCTCCTTTGCTCAAACATATGTATTGGAAAATCAAGGGGGTTAAAAATCCAATTTTCCATCTCCTTATTTCTGACATTTAGGCACTCGAGTTCTAGTTAAAGGTGTACGAAATTCCATCACTAATACTCTGCCTGCTGAATTGAGGTAGTAAATCAAACTAAATAATCCACCAATTGGATGATCACTCGGTTCACAACATCATAACAATAACATACCCAGTGAAATCCCGCAAGTAGGATCTGGATATCCCACATGATCATTTAAAAATAGTTTCCAACCGTAAAAGCTAAACATCTCAAGCTATTTCTGTTTTTATTCCTCACTCATCTCTTTTCTCTATTTTTTCATGTCAATGCTTACACTTTTCATTTAGATCATAAAATAAGATCATTTTGCAAAAGGAACACTAGGAATATAGTGAGCACTTCAATTGTTTCATTCTAGAATGAAAATATAACAATAGTTTCAATAGATAAGATAAATTTTCATGGAAGCAATAAGGCGGTGCTGTATTACAGTAGAAACTACTACAAAAAATCAGAAATAAGCTATTATACTTCAGAAAAAATTGATACGTTAATGCATATTTTTAAGTTTCTGCGAGATTATTGATAAGAAAAGGAACAGGATAAGGAAGAACAGAGAATTACCAGTGGAAATAAGCTGCCGGTTGCCTGATATTCTACGCTTGGATTTCGCCGGGATCGAGAGAGACAGAAAGGTAAGTGGCAAACGGGTAAGGGCTAAGAACTTGGGCTTGGGCTTTATGGGTATTGCATTGGGCTCAAATAACGTTTTTTGAAAAATAATTAAATAAAAATTAATAACGAGATAAACTCTTTAACTTAAACTTTTCACATGATATATTTAAAATCATAATATTAAAAAATATTTTAGTATATTTTAAATATCTATAGATTAAAATCACAAGATTCAAGAGTGTTCTTTATTCTAAAGTCATGTGCCAAATAAAAACCAGACAAACAAATTTAAAGACAAGGAGTATTTTCAAAACATAATGATGCTTTGATTTCAAAGTGTAGAAAAATACATGTTTTTGTGGCATAAAATATCTCATTCTAACCAAAAATCGCATAGATTTATTATCTGGTCATAACTAGATGTGTATGTATGTATGTGTGTGTGACCAATTATATGTGTATGTATGTGTGGGCAATGAAGGCTAGAGTTTTTAAATACATAAATACGTATAGAAATATTGTAATTTGTATATATTGTAAAATTGTATAATCTCGCTATGTTCATGTAATGTTTTCAATAAAACAAAATATTTTTCGAATTTACAATTTTAGTTTTGATTAAACCAACTCAATATATGCTTATCCATTTTGAAACAAAAGCCTACAAACATCAATATAAATGATCATCAAATCACCTATTTATTGGCAAAAAAGAAAACATCAAATCAAGTAGCCCACTTTGTCTTCTTGGAGACAATGATAATGTGTATGTACGCACAAAAACACGCAAAAATATAGGATTATGTCTTTCAGATTTTTTAAAGATATTGTCGAATGTATATAATGAATTTTGAAATATTTTAAGGAATCACTAAATCAGTAATTGACTAAAAATCAATAAGGAACACTCAATTGACTTTAACCAATAATTATCTATTAAATTGAAATTTTCATATTCTAAATAAAAAATTCAAGCTTTCAAATTTTAATAACTATAATGTTCTTGATAAAGAAGAGGTGAGCTCTAGAAGAAATGTAAGAATGAAAAAGTATGAATATCAAGTTATCAACAATAATGTATTAATGAACACAAAATAATAATAATAATAATAATAATAAAACTTATTTTGCAATATACAAAAAATGGAGACAAAAAATAAACATCAACACTTTAGAGGATGTATCGTACAATTTTGTAATAAAATAGATCAGTATTTAGATTAATCACAATATTGATACTTCAAAACCTAAACACGAACCAAGAATCCAACTTCTAAAAATCGGAAACTTTTCAAAAAAAAATAAAAAATCAAAACCAATCTGATATTTCGATGTTATACCTTTAGAAGTATATATTTAGTTGTTCTTTTGACCATTTTGAAAAAAAAAAATTACTTTTAAAAAAAATATTATTATTTGATATTCAAAATCCACTAGCGAATTCTCTTTGATTTGTACAACCTTAGAGATGGACTATAACCATTCCATTACTCCTTCACAAAATTGAGTCAAAGTGCATAAATATCCTATTTTAGAATTATAAGTTAAGTTATACCCGTGATACATATAGATTCATAAGTTTATCAGTTTGAAATAACTTTTGGATATATAGTTTCTAAAATTTCATTCTAAACTTTTATATTTTATCTTAATAAATATGTACAAAGTTATTACAAAGTGAATGAACATACCAATTTCTTTTAAAATTAAATAATAATATCCAAATAATACCTTCCAAATTTTTAGTTAATCCAAACTCGATAAAATTAAGTGATTATTTGATGGAATAATTATGTTGGAATAATAACTATTCATCCATGTTTAATTAAAGATATCAGATTCGAATCCTGATTATAAAATCAAAATTAATACTATAAAAAAACTCTACCTCAAAATAAATTTTTGTAAAACTAAATAAAAAATCAAATAAAATTCCATAAAACATACCATTGCCAAACACACTTAGAGAATCCTGTCCATTTGCTTTAGGCACTTTTAGCATGACTCGACTCATCATCAAATAATTAGAAAAGACATTTTTTTGTCTCTCTCCTCACTCTTCTTCTTTTCTCCTTCCTTCTTTCCTTCTCCGAAAAGCTAGAGGTTGAGTCTGAAGAGTGAACAAAACCTTGTGCGGATGGAGAGAACCGATAACGCACTTGATTAGAGCTACTTCGTTTGGTTCTCATTCTCTCTGTATCATCGGCCATCAAGTTTATATAGTAAGATTCCGTTTCTCTTTCTGTTCAATAATCAATCACACTGTTTTTGCTTCCGTTAGCTGTGAAATTGATTCGATTTCTATCATTGCATGTTCTACAGAAGTTATTTTGTAATTCGTATTAACCGAATTGGATTTTGCATTGTTTAGCATTTGTAGAAGTATGAATTATTATTTTTTGGATTGGTTGCTTTTTGATGAGGTTTTGATGTTTGAATTTCAAGCTGAGAATGTTCATCTGGAAGTTATTTTCGTCGATTGATTTTGTTTTTGTGTGGATGAATGTGTGAGTACATTGTTGTGTTAGTTGTAAGTTTTGGTGTGGAAAGTGATGGAATGAAATGCCTGATTTTAATTTGTGACCTAGACGTTTAGTATTGATTCCTTTCATGAATATTGTTTAGGAGTTCGACTCTTAGATCGCAGTGCTTTTCTTTTTTTCGTTCATCGGAATAGACTCAGTTATAGTGTGTCAGCATCTTTTCAGGGGTGATAGTTGTATGCTTAATGTAATCTTCATTAATTTGAGGAAGAGTATCAATTTCGTGAAAGTGGAAATGTCAGACTTGGAATGTGCCTTTTTCACGATTTTCTTTGGAAGTTGAAAATTTAGACTGGTAATGTGCTTTTATGCTGCATCTGAATAGTTTTAAAATTTGGCATTACTAAAGTGATTATATTGGCTGTGGATGATATGAGAAGTGAATTAGTCTGTTCAGTTGTAAATCATTTGTTCAGACCAAACGATTTTACTTTCACGTGTGTATGGCAGTGTAACGACACTGTGTAGACTAGTGATTCTTTGATCGCTTCTGTTTGTTAGATCTAAACAACCAGTTAGTAGCAGTTCTCCGTTTTACTTATCAAAAAGTAGTATTTCTCCATTTTTACTATTGTTATTAGTTGCTTTTCTCCTGTCATAACTAGTGGTTCTCTGTACGTTCTGTTATCCGTGAAATGTTGGATTCTCTTGTTGTTATGACTTATGCCATCCAATCTCTGCCATTTTCCTTTATTTTGTGGTTTCTGCTACTCTACAATTTGTTACAAAGCCTTTGATTAATAAGTGATGTTCTCAATATAGTTGCTTCTTTACTTCTTATCAGCGGTTCTTATTTCATCTTATGCTGCAAGGATGAAGATGGAAGCACCTCCTTCAACAATCTTGTTTACTGATGATGATAGCAAGAACCTGGAGCAGTTGCTCGATGTCTTTGGATCTGTTGTCTCTCTCGATGACATCGCTGCAGCTTATTGTAAAGCAGGTCGGAATCCAATTATTGCAGGTGATATACTTGGAGATCAGAAACCTAGCAGCTCCGGAACTACTAACTCTGAGTTAGAAGAAAACATAGAGGATTCTGTGACTCTGACTTCTGAATTTGAGGAAGTAGGGGACTCTGTGATATCGACTTCTGAATCTGTATCTGAGATTGATGCCAAGAGAGCTGGTCCCAGGTCATCAAAGCAAAAAAAGTTATCAGTGTCTATGGGGACTGTCTCAAGCATGATCCCAAAAGACTATCTGACGAATAGACCACTAATTACAGAAACTTCTACAAGAATCAAGCCACTGAAATTAAGCGCAGATGATTTTTTAACCCCAGAGCTAAGGGATGAGAAAGCTCCATTAGGTGCTGCAGCTATGAGTGAAACCCTGCCCAGCACTGTAGAGGAGTTCCTCTTCAACATGCTCGGAAGTGGATTTTCTCTTGACAGGAGTGTAATTGGAGATGTTGTGGGTGAGCACTTTACTTATGTCTACACTTAGTGTTTGTAAGATTACTTTATAAGTAGTGCTGACATATGGAGTAATGCTACTTATACTTTCAATGACCTGAAATTGTGTCATTTCTTTCTTCACTTCTTTTCATTGATCTTCTAATGAAACTTGCAAAAGTTGGTTAAATGTTTCTTTATAGTCTGTTTTGAGACTTGATTTTGTTAAGTAGAATGCAACTTGAGGATGGTTCACTTGTTCAGTTTGTCTCAGATATCTTTAAATTCTGTTCCTTTTTTTCTTCCTTATAACTGCATCGTAATTCCTATGAGCTTATAACTGCATCCTAATTCCTAGGAGCTGTCACAACTTTTGGATAATCTTCTTCCTAACTTGGTGTTGTTGGATATGCAGGTCAATGCGGTTATGATTTGAACAAGGTTAGTGATATCAACTCAACCACTTTGTATACTTTATATGTGTTTTTCGAGGCATCAAATGCTAACATTATATTTGGCTCAATTTTATGTTTACATTCAGCATATGCATGTTTGCACTTAACTCTGTATGCTGTTACTCAGTAATTGGCACCACATTGTTATATGCTAAGCATACATGTGAAAGTTGCTCTTCTAAGCACCTGCAGATACCATCTAGCCTGCCCATTCTCCGACTCCCTTGTATTATTACCTATGAAATCTTGAAAGTAAGTCCTGTGTTTTGTTTGATTTGTGTCCAAACTGTGATCGGCTATACGCTTTTCTAGGTCCTTTTCAAAGTTAATCCCGTTGCTGGTTTGGATTTTGTGGCTTAAGTTTAAGCAGTTTTGATGTATGTGGTATGAAGTCCACATTTAACTAGAAAATAAATTATGCTCCATTCTACTTATCTAAATAGCTATTAAGCCTCTATCACAGTTAAAGTAATTACCTCATGTACCTAAAATTAGCTTGTGGATTTAGGAACCGATGAATGAATTTCTTGCTAACTGTGGTTAACTTTCATGGCGAGAAACCACAATGCATGTGTGGAATCATTCATAGTTGCCGGAAGGACGAGGCCAGGTTGTTGCTAGACTTGCAGAAGCTTAGTTCTCATGCTAAGCAGAA